TTATGGTTTTTACTACCTCCCAAGCACAGGGATGTGAGAGTATCTTTCTGCTGTTTCTCCTTTTTTTTTTTTCTTCTTTCATACTTCTCTCCGCACCACTCTACTTGTCCTCTAGCTGTGACTTTGGCTGGTGATTACTGGTCTGAAGCGATACTCAGCTGTCGGTTTCCGCATAAGGTTTGCGATGCTAGAGCGCTGAGCTGTTCCGCCCTCACCAGGATCAAAAGTCTGTCCAAGAGCTTTCTCTACGCGCTCGCAACTGCGCCAGGACACCTTACCCGTAACAATTGTGCATCTCGCAACCTTTCCGTGCTGCTAGGGGCGTTGGGGTATAAGGATATGTGCTTTATGAGAGGTAAATATAAATACCATTCCCCAGTTGTAAAGGCTGCCCCCGGAGAGGAGAGTAGTTGCGGTATCGCCACGGGCAACTAGACCTCCGGAGGAACTTTTGATTTTAGGCAACGCTCGTAGAGTTCTGTTCGGGTGCACACCGACTATCACTGCGTTACCCTTTACCAGCGGATTTCTCCATCACATTCTAATCCGGGGGCCCGCGCCAATCGGAAATGGGCACTCGCCCCGCTCCCAGGTAAGGTATTCAACCGTGAGGATGGTCAGGCGTCAAAGTGAATCATATTTCCACGCGAATTTTTGTCAAATCCTCACATCGGAATTTTTGCCGAAATGGAGAATCCCAATTCGGCTCAAAATAAGAATAAGAATAAGAATGGGGGATATATAATATGCTCTGGGTGTGTTCTTGCTGATTCCCTTCTCCATCCGGGCGGATTCATAGGATAATTCTATACGCCTCACGAGCGGCATTGCTTGACAAAACGGGGCGTCAACCGAAAACCCTTCCAGAACACGGGCCGCACTCCTCACTCGTTGTTATTCACGGCGAGTGGCTGCAGTCCGATCCTCCGGGAACACTCTCGGACATCTGGCCAGTGTGCTGCTATACCTACAGTGATTTGGAGAAATCTGCTGACAAACTTCTAGAGACAACCCTCGCCCAGGAGAGGTCATAATATATCCACCATCTAGTAAGTTCATGCCCGGCGCGTTAGCTCATGCCCATTTTCTAATGACTAATAGAGGGACGGGAGTTGGTCGGGTGGGTGGTTTCTCTTGTAGCACCACACCTCGGTGACGTGGATTAGAACCACCCCTTCCACTGCCCACAAATACAGTCCTTTCCGGGACACTAGAGCCAAGCGTGTGTATTCGATAGCCTGTTTCACCATCACAGCCCCCACTTCACCCACCCCTCCCCCAAACAAGCGTTGGTTTCCATCCGAGCAAGTACTACATTGTAACTCTAGCGGTAGCTGCATCCCCCGGTACTTCGGCATGGATGGAGAATGTATTACTAGTTGAGGGAGAGGAGAGCAAGATATGTGTTGGTTTGCGGACGAGGTGTGTTTTCAGAGCGCTGGGTGGATGGGTGGAGGGAGGCACAGATGTGGGGTGCCCCCATGGTGTGGTCGTATGATATGCTACGGAGGACGGTGGCGGGGGAGCGGTGGTTGGTTAGTAAGTTAGCTTGCTATTCCTTCCCGGCTATAAGTGAGATGCGCACAAAGGATATTATATCCCGGGGCCAACACAAAAGATACCCCCCTCTTTTCGGGCAATTTTGGCTGGGGGGCGAGTACATTTAGGATGTATTTGGAAACGACCGTTCCCTTCTGAAATGTACCAAGCCGACCGTTGCGAAACGGAAGTGGTCCGTTTCCACGCCGGCAACCGTTCCAAAACAAAATGGTCACGAATGCTTCTCTTCCTGCCAAACAAAGCCTTAGGAAGTTTGGGGCGGCTAACCCTTAGATTTTTTTGACTCGGGGATAGGGCGTCTGTGCACCCGGGGAAGGATCAGCGGTCGCATATATCATGGCTAGCCGCGTCCCCGGCACTTCCAAGACGGGGTTTTAGGGACACTGGTAGGGGAATGGAAAAGGCTTCGTTCGGTTAATAACTGAACGGACTGTTTGAGTAGTGGATTGGCGATGTGCAGCCGTTCATGGAGTGGATTTGGTGTTCTGTTAACACGCTTCCGTTCATAAAAACAAGTGGCGAACGGTCAAAAGTGAAATGGACCTCTGAATGTCCTTTCCATCAGCCGTTCATCTTCCTGAACAATCCTGCCTCTACCATACTTTCATCATGCCTCCACGCTGACACTCACAAAATCGCATCACTGAGAAGCCTGCAGTATGTATGGCATACATGCACCGGTTCTGGTTGCCTTGCAATACTTCTACTCTCTCTGTCGGAGCTTTCATTAACGAGTTGCTCCGTAGACATCCTCGCCCACTTTTTGATATCTTTCGTGCACCGGTGACCACATTTCAAGATCCCTGCACTTGGTTGTGAAAAATGGAATTATTCCTTGCTCAATGAAGTACACGAATGAGTCTTGAACGGATGCTGACCATATTACTCTGGATGGTCGGTCACAATCTGCATAGCCGTGATGGTCGGTTAAACGGTCAGCTTAGCCGAACAACTCTCATACCAGTATGTGATTTCTAGTGACTGTTCCAGATCGCTGAACGGTTGCATTTGGAATAGCTAATGAATGGTCTATTGTTAACCGAACGAACCCTAAACAATCCCGCTAGCATCAAGAACGCACTCACGTTCATTGACATTGTTATATATCTAGATGTTGTAGAGGACAAACCTTGTGAATCTGCATTAAACATTACAGAGAGAGAGAGAGAGAGAGAGAGAGAGAGAGAGAGGAGGAG